AAAAAAAAAAAAAAAAAAAAAAAAAAAAAAAAATTCTCACTCACTCGAGCACTGGAATGATCCTGGTGTTTCGTGTTTTCATGTGAATTGATAGGAAGTAGTAGAATATGATAGCGTCACTGCGAGTGAAGTCTTCAGTGAAGAAATCTGCCCTGGCCTCGATCTTCACGACGTCCATAATTTCGCTGTCCCCCTTGTAATACTCGGCGAATCGTTTTCTCCAGGTTTTCTCGGGCACCCAGGGGTAGAAGGCGTTCCTGGGAAGGGTTCCCAGTTTCCTGAAGTCGAAGAATGTCCGGAGGAAGATGTTCTTCGGTTTGTGAAAGTGCTTGGTGTTCGGGTCGTCTGTGAGCGCCTAGAAAGGGCAGGGAATGGTTGACATTTTGGGGAGTAGTTTTATTAATCTAAAATCAATTAATCGGACTCCCAACAATTTTCATTATAAAGAAATCCACTAAAACGTTTTTTTGTCATCACAATTGGATAATAATATACATATCTCTCTATATAATAAAAAAGTGGGTTTCGTTTAACGCGGAAAATTTTTCAGGGGTCACGAGGATCGTAAGGGCCAATTTCGGGCCAATGTCGGCCCAAGATCGGGCCAATGTCGGCCCAAGATCGGGCCAATGTCGGCCCAAAGTCGGGCCACTGTTGAGTCAAGCTCGACTCAAGGTTGACTCAAGCTCGAGTCAAGGTCCAAAATTTCAGGGGACGCTGGAGGGTGCCCATATATGGGGCCCCCATATGGGCCTTAGAGAGAAAAAAAAAACATTAGCTCCTTCAGAAAAATGAAATAAATAATGGGATTATAAGAACCAGTCGCACCAGAGATTTGGGGGGTGCGAGGGGGGGGGCAAGCCCCCTAGTATATATATATAATTTATATAGCGTTCGACATTTTTGTGACGTCATAGGAAATGGGTGGATGGGACTTGGAACGTAACATAAAATGTGCGATTAACAATCTGAAAATTGTTCTCATTTTTTTATTTTTTGCTCTACTAAAAAATTTGGAAAGAATAAAATTCACACGAATCCGACTCTAGTGACAGAAAAAAGACATCAGATTACCAAAGACGTTGAAGGTGACACTGCGACGAAGAGAACGGCCCTCCCATAGTCCGACAGATACTGATTGACCAGTGACCACTGGAAGGAGTAGAAAAAATTAACATTCGGCACTGCCCCGATGACGGCGATGGCAGGGGGTCCCCTCCAGTCCCTCGGTCTGATCCCCTCGAACATCTTGTCCATATTCCTGGAGTTGATCTTTCCGTCCAGAAAGTCGGTCTTCGCGATCGTCGCCAAGTTGAAGGGTCTGAGGTGCAGACGTCCCGGGTACCTCTTTGAGAGTGGATGCAGCCACTGCATGAACTCCGTGAATTTATCGTATCCGTGGACGACTGAAACCCCGGAGTCCAGCAGTTGCTGGGTCATCAGGCCGATCCCTGGGTTCATCTCAGCTATGAATGTTTGCTCCTTCGGGATTTTGTCGATGATGAGGGATGCGAAGGCCTTGGAGACGTCTCTGTCGAGCAGGTGAAGGGTCGTGAAGTTTTTCGTTCGTCTCATTACGTCGAAGGGCAGCTCTTCGACGCTGATTGCTGAGCCGTCGTAGCCTGTGAATTCGGAAGGCATTCCCGCGGGTCTTCCCGGGGCTTTGGGTTTTTCGGCGGCATTTTCAGAGGAGGGTCGCGAGGGCTGGGGGCCAATGAGGGGTCTGGGGGGGCGTGAGGGGATTTTTGGGGGGAAACAACGACGCAGCATCTGCAAGGGAATTTTATTTTGAGAGAAGTAGCCATTTTTTGACATTTTCTTCGCAGAAATGAATGAGAATTGAATGAGAATTATTTTTTTTTCAGGGGCTCAAATGATAAAAACTCAAGGCATTTGGACTAGAGCCTATGTTTTGGGCACCTCTGCGGGGCTCCCTTCAGGGACATCATTTATTATTTTTTTTACAAAGAAATACAAAAGATGAAAATATTGGGTCTAGTCCAAATGACTTGATTTTTTATCATTTTTATTGTTGGATGACGAAAAATCAAGTCAGTTGGACAGTTGAAAAAAAAAGTTCTTTAAATGAGCTAGAAATCGCAGAGGTCAAGAACTTTTAAATAATTAATAATTCGGTCAAACCTTCTCCGCCAAAAAATCAATAAATAATGGAAATTAATTTTTTTTTTCAATATTTTCTTAGGAATAAATAATTGAATTTGTTTAAACTTTTGAAAACCCAAACTTTTAGTCATTTCTGACATTTAACATTTAAAAAATGTTTCTTAACAAATCGAAATGAATTGGTTTTTGCAATATTTTCTTATGAATAAATAATTAAAATTGTTTAAATATTAAACACCCAATTTTTTGCTGAATTTCTGAATATAAAAAAAAATTTATGATTTTGAAGGAATAATTTTTCCAGTTGAAAATTGTTTATAAATTCCTTATAAAGAAGATCGTGGTCTTCAAAAACTAATTTTTCAATCATTTTATGTTTCCTCAAGAAATAAACTAGAAATCTTCATTATTATCGATTTTTAAAAAAGTTTTTTTCTTTTATGAACAAATAAAAACAACAAAACAAAATTTTTGGATGAACAAATAAAAACAAAATTCAGATGAGGACTTACGACAGATTCAGGGACGGAATTCCATTACCGTCATCGATATTTTATTTTTTATATTGTTTATTAACAATTGTGCACACATAATGCGACCCATGTGCTCACCCCGACGTTTACACTTCTAAAAGTCGATCAGCTGGAGCTGGTCCCTGCCTTTCTTATCGACTGAGCCCAATTCGTCGTGATGTGTCCAGTGATCATCTGATCCACTTCGAATTCAACCCATCAAAGACATAAACACCCCAAAATCGAGGGACAGGTACAAACATTTAACACAACTCAACTCATAGCCTATTGAAGACAAATTTTTTCATCACACAGTCAATTCAACACATTGTTAAGTCAACATATAGTGTATTGAACACATTCTTCTGTCAAAACACTTTTTTTTAACACGAACTACATACAAATTACATATGAATTTTTTATGAAGAGCAAATAAACTCATTGATTATGTATTGAGTGAATGTATTGTTGAATTCATGTTGTGAGGAATTTGTTTTGTGTTAAATAGTCATGGAACCCCCTTTTAAGAAATTAAGTGTTCACTTGATGAAAAAAACTACTAATATTTTCCAATTTTTTTATTTTGATGAGTATGTTTAAAATTTATCAATGTAAGTCGCAAAACCTTTCAACATCGAAGAAATTTAGTATTGGATAAATAACGAATAAATTTCACTTTCATGTCCCCTCTCTAGAGATTGAAAAATGGCCCAATGTCAGCCCCTCATAACTCGGCTGATCGCCTCGTCCGTGACGGCGGCGGCTCAGGCAGGAAAAATAATTCGCGATGTCATGAACAAGGGCGAGTTGAACATCGTGGAGAAGGGGAAGAACGACCTGCAGACGGAGGCGGACAGGTCCGCCCAGAACTGCATCATCGAGTCCCTCAGCAGGCAGTTCCCAGGGGTGACCATCATCGGGGAGGAGGGCTCCTCGAGGTGTGAGGTACCCCCTCACTGGATTGTTACGGATATGGATCAGGAGGTTCTCAATGTCAAATTGCCAGAGCACCTGGAGAATGTCGCACCCAAGGATGTCTGTGTCTGGGTGGACCCACTGGATGGTAATTTTAAATTCATTTCTTTGATATATTTTTTACTTCATTCTTGACGAAAATGGAAATGTCAAATGTTTTCAATATTTTTTGTTCCATTTTTTAATGAAAAATAGAAGATTCTGCATAATTTTTTATTCTGTTATGGACGAGAATGAGAATAAGCAAGAAAAATCTTAAAAATGGAAATTGAAACATTTTTTATTCCAAGTTCAACAAAAAAATGGAAATTAAAATAAAAAATGTGTCAGTATTTTTAATTTTAGTTCTAGTAAAAATAGGAATAAAAAATGAACATGAGTTCAGTATTTTTAATTCCATTTTCACAAAAAAATGAAAATAAAAAAATTCATTATCTTTCTTTTTTGAATGTCAATTTCTTTGAAGATTTTTTTTTAATTCGTGATGTTATTGTCTCCATAAGGAACGTCCGAGTCCACTTAAGTCTCCATTTTTATTCTATTATTTCCGAGAATGAGAATAAGAAAAAAAGTCTTAGAAATAGAAATTGAAAAAACGCTTCTAAAAATGCGAATGAAAAACATCTTCAACATTTTTTATTCCAATCTCAACAAAAAAATTGAATGTGTGCAGGATTTTAACTTTTAGTTCTAGTAAAAAAACACGAATAAAAATGAAAATGAGTTCAATATTTTTTATTCCATTTTTTAATGAAAAATAGAAGATTCTGCATAATTTTTTTTCCTGTTATGGACGAGAATGAGAATAAGCAAGAAAAATCTTAAAAATGGAAATCGAAACATTTTTTATTCCAAGTTCAACAAAAAAATGGAAATTAAAATAAAAAATGTGTCAGTATTTTTAATTTTAGTTCTAGTAAAAATAGGAATAAAAAATGAACATGAGTTCAGTATTTTTAATTCCATTTTCACAAAAAAATGAAAATAAAAAAATTCATTATCTTTCTTTTTTGAATGTCAATTTCTTTGAAGATTTTTTTTTAATTCGTGATGTTATTGTCTCCATAAGGAACGTCCGAGTCCACTTAAGTCTCCATTTTTATTCTATTATTTCCGAGAATGAGAATAAGAAAAAAAGTCTTAGAAATAGAAATTGAAAAAACGCTTCTAAAAATGCGAATGAAAAACATCTTCAACATTTTTTATTCCAATCTCAACAAAAAAATTGAATGTGTGCAGGATTTTAACTTTTAGTTCTAGTAAAAAAACACGAATAAAAATGAAAATGAGTTCAATATTTTTTATTCCATTTTTTAATGAAAAATAGAAGATTCTGCATAATTTTTTTTTCTGTTATGGACGAGAATGAGAATAAGCAAGAAAAATCTTAAAAATGGAAATCGAAACATTTTTTATTCCAAGTTCAACAAAAAAATGGAAATTAAAATAAAAAATGTGTCAGTATTTTTAATTTTAGTTCTAGTAAAAATAGGAATAAAAAATGAACATGAGTTCAGTATTTTTAATTCCATTTTCACAAAAAAATGAAAATAAAAAAATTCATTATCTTTCTTTTTTGAATGTCAATTTCTTTGAAGATTTTTTTTTAATTCGTGATGTTATTGTCTCCATAAGGAACGTCCGAGTCCACTTAAGTCTCCATTTTTATTCTATTATTTCCGAGAATGAGAATAAGAAAAAAAGTCTTAGAAATAGAAATTGAAAAAACGCTTTTAAAAATGCGAATGAAAAACATCTTCAACATTTTTTATTCCAATCTCAACAAAAAAATTGAATGTGTGCAGGATTTTAACTTTTAGTTCTAGTAAAAAAACACGAATAAAAATGAAAATGAGTTCAATATTTTTTATTCCATTTTTTAATGAAAAATAGAAGATTCTGCATAATTTTTTTTTCTGTTATGGACGAGAATGAGAATAAGCAAGAAAAATCTTAAAAATGGAAATCGAAACATTTTTTATTCCAAGTTCAACAAAAAAATGGAAATTAAAATAAAAAATGTGTCAGTATTTTTAATTTTAGTTCTAGTAAAAATAGGAATAAAAAATGAACATGAGTTCAGTATTTTTAATTCCATTTTCACAAAAAAATGAAAATAAAAAAATTCATTATCTTTCTTTTTTGAATGTCAATTTCTTTGAAGATTTTTTTTTAATTCGTGATGTTATTGTCTCCATAAGGAACGTCCGAGTCCACTTAAGTCTCCATTTTTATTCTATTATTTCCGAGAATGAGAATAAGAAAAAAAGTCTTAGAAATAGAAATTGAAAAAACGCTTTTAAAAATGCGAATGAAAAACATCTTCAACATTTTTTATTCCAATCTCAACAAAAAAATTGAATGTGTGCAGGATTTTAACTTTTAGTTCTAGTAAAAAAACACGAATAAAAATGAAAATGAGTTCAGAATTTTGAATTCCATTTTCACCAAAAAATGAAAATAAAAAAATCCATTCTTTTTTTTTGAATGTCAATTTCTTTGTAGATTTTTTTCCATTCTTCATGATATGATGTTATTTTGTCCATAAGGAACGTCTGAGTTTACCCAGGGTCTCCTGGACCACGTGACAGTCCTCGTGGGAGTGGCAGTAGGTAAAAAGGCAGTTGGTGGAGTGATTCATCAACCTTACTCAAAAAATCCTCAAACATCGTCGATGGGGAGGACATTGTGGGGTATTGATGGGGTTGGAGTGGGTGGGTTCAAGCCTGTGCCACCTCCACAGGGCAGGAGGATCATCACAACAACTAGGTGATTTCTTCCACTCAAAAAATTGTCTTGTAAATCGTGAATGCAAAATTTGTTAAAAATGATTCTTTTTCCATCGTAAAACGAGTAGATTTTCTGTTAAATTAATAACTCATTCGTCTCAATGAAACCATTCACGAAATTATGTTGAGGCACTTTTTGTTGTGAATTCTCCACATAAATATCTGAATAAATGATCTCTTGCTGAAATCGCAGATCACATTCCAACAAAACAGTTCAAGAAGCCCTGGACGCCATGAGCCCTGATGAAATCCTGAGAGTCGGAGGCGCCGGCCACAAAGTGCTGCTCCTCCTCGAGGGAAAGGCCCACGCCTACGTATTCGCCAGCCCTGGCTGCAAGAAATGGGACACTTGTGCTCCCGAGGCCATCCTCAGGGCTGCTGGGGGCACCCTCACCGACCTCAACGGGGACTTGTACCCTTACGATCCCAAAGCCCCTCATCCAAATGCCAAAGGGGTCTTGGCTACTGCCCCAGGGGAGAATCATGCCTTCTACCTCAGCAAAATTCCTGATTCTGTTAAACAAGAGCTTTAGCGTAATTTTTTAAAAGAAAAATATAATTTTTTGCAATGTTTTGTTTCTGAATAAATTTCAAGGAGAGAATTTCTTCCTGTGAATTTTAATTAATGGAGATGTCAATGATAATTATTTTCTGTTATTTTTTAATGGAAAATATCAACTGAGTTGAATAAAATACTCTCATTCATTTGATTTATTTATATCGAGGGAGATTTTTAAATAAATCTTGCTCGTCCCTATGTACATGAAAAACGTACGTGACTCATCCCTCGATGATTTGTGGTGAATTATAAAAAATTTGTAGATTGATATAGTTCTTTAATTAACGTTAGAAAATAAATATAAACTCAAGTGGCTTTCGGTTTTGCTGACTTGACTTTTTTCAATTTCTTCAGTCCATTTATGTTGGATTTGAGGAGATTCCAATATGCCTGCTGGAATTTGTTGACATCCTTGGAATGAATCTGAAAAAATGAGGTGTTGATTTAATTTATTGATAAATTAATTTCTATTAATTATTCATTTATTGTTATTCCACCTCTTAGAACGGAAAGCATTTTTTTCTCACGAAATTTTTTTAATTATCAAAATTTTTTTCACATTTACTTTTCAAAAAACACGAGTTGATTTCTCATGTTGTCAAAAGTCGAATTATCTCGTCAACCATTCATTCTAGGAAAAAAAGCCATAGCACATTTTTTATAGGAAATTTAGAAAGCTACAAAAAATCTCTTCTGACATTTTCCTCTCAGACCATTCGTTCTCGAGATAATCAACAAAAACGGTTTAATGGATGTTTTGCCACTTGACTAGTGAATTAAATAATCAAATAATTCTCTTTGCGTAATTAATTAATTAACTCTTACAACAGTAGATATTTTTTTGGAACGTAACGTCGCCCTGACTAGACAGAGGTACTCGCTGGGCTTCGGTAGAGGTGGCTTGCCTTCCCTGGGCACAGGTCTATTGTGTCCATTATCTTGAAAGAAAAAAAATGGCGACACAAATCAATGAATTGAATGAACTCCTAAAAAATCAATTATAATAATATTCTCTTACATCTTTTAATTGTTAACACGACGGAACCCGACAGCCGTGACTTGTCAAACAGTCTCGTGAGTTCACTCAAAAACTAAATAACAATAAAAATAAAACGAATTCATTATACCACATTTTTACGAAGAATGCTAGATTTTCAATAATTTATTAATTTTTTTACCGCATCATTCTCGAGTAAAACCATTCTGTCACAGCATATGTGTCGTCGGGCGTGGAGTTGATGACTGAAAATAACAACTGGGAGAGGTTATGTTTGCCTCCGTCGCTCCGAAATTGTGTAAAGGTGCAGTTCATAGTGGGAATGTAGGAACGAGGAACAAATGTTCGGAGGAAGGAATGTGGACATGTTTATGGAAAGGATTAGGAACAAATCATTGATGTAGGAACTGGAAATTATGGATTAGGAACAGTCCTCGTTCCTAATGTTTATTCCTGAATGACAAGAAATGAATTGTAGGAACAGGACATTTTTTTATTCTGTTCCTAATCTTCGATCTACGGAAAAATATAGAAAGGATGAGGAACAAATAATTGATTTTAGGAACAGGAAATGTTCCCAATATTCCTGAATACTCCTAATAAATGATGAAGAATAAATTTTAGCAATAAGGAATTTTTTTAATCCCTCGTTCCTAATCCTTGATTTATGAAAAAATGTGGAGGATGAGGAACAAATAATTTATTTTATGAACTGAAAATGATGGATTAAGAACATTTGCTGTTCCCCATATTTACTCCTAAATAACAAAGAATCAGTTTTAGGAACAGGAAATTTTTTTTTCCTTTGTTCCTAATCCTCGAAAAACATTGTAAAACGAACATTAGGAACAGGAATCTCAGGAATCCTGAGGAGTCATAAGTCATCCTAATATTTATTCCTCAATATTTTTCATATTGACGATTAAGAATAGGAAATGAGGAACATTCTCAGTTCGGAACATTTATTCCTTAATAACAAGAAACTCGTTCGTAAACCTTAAAATGGAGAAAATATTGAGGAACGAATATTAGGACTAGAAAATCATGAATTAGGAACATTTTATTGTTCCTCATTCCCGTTCCAAATCCTCAGTATCAAAACATTGAGGAACGGATACTAGAATCAGGAACATCCTACTTTTCGCTCCTCAATATATTTTCCAGATTCCTGTTCCTAATCCGTTCCCCAAAACATTCCCATTGTGCACCGACCTTGACCCATCTGACGTGCCACCTGTCGAACAACAGTTCCCAAAAGCCACATAAACAATAATTCGACAATGGTTCAAGGAATCACCGTCCGAATATCCCACAGCAATGAGTGTATATTCGAAAAATCAACGGGAGAAGTTCCCAAAACCCTCGAAACCCTGACAAAAAGCCTGAAAGAACTCCAGAAAAATGTCAATGACGTCCTGACGTCCCTCGTAGACACCAAAGGTGAACGAACGGCTCGCATTATACAGTCGACCCAAATAAAAAAAAAAATGAACCGAGCAGAATTAATGATCATCTTCATGAATAACCGAGAGGATGCTAATGAAGGGATTTTTCAGGTCATGATGCCGCCGAGAGTGGAGGAGACGATGATGATGAGGATGACAATCCAGAACGGGTTAACCCCAAAAAATGTAGATTGGGAGACTGAACTGTGGAGTTGAGCACCAGAACGAGAACACGCAGACGCGGACCGGTTTCATGGATTAATAAGTCATTTATGCTGTTCTGTATTCGTTGAGATAAAATAAAGAGTTTTGAGGAAACGGGGGTATCATTGGTCTCTCACCGGGGAAAACTGTTTTAGTTTGAGTTTTGACGAATCACGGGCTCGAAGGGGTTTACGATCTGGTGGAACTGTCTGCTCACTCGTAATAAAACGATAAATGACGTAAATGAAGTGAGGACGGTTGATAAAGTTAATATTTCAACTGGTGGAACCGACGTTGGAGCTCTCGCAGTTGATAATTGGTGAGTTTTATTTATTTTTCTGTTTTGATTTTGATCTTTTGACGATTTTCATAACCTCAAATGCAGGAAAAATGGACATGGGTTGATTGGTGTTCCATATTGGCTCGGGGCAACTGGTATTTTGCCAGATTCTCCTAATTTTTATAGAAATAGGTTTATAATTTATTATTGTACATGTGATTTCGACAGTTCTGGTCGGAAATTTATAGTTGATGGTCGGTATTTGGGACTAGTGCGTCGTATGTCATAATTTCTCAGAGAAATTTTTTTTGAATTTTCTTAGGAAGATTTATGAAAGTCCATTGACTTTTTCGATAAAATATTCATTTAATGAAAGGAAGAATATTGAATAAGGGCTCATCTACACCGAGAGAATTGGTTTGAGTTGAATGGACTTTACTGGAAGAGAAAGAACTTATGTGATTTTTTTAAAATTGAATTCTCATATTCATTTTTTGAACTTTTGATTATTTTAAAACTATTTAAAAATTTTTGATTATTAAAAAAAATGTTCTGAGTCAATTGAATGATGGCTTAAAAAATGTTTCAATGTCTCTCTGACCGAGTTCGAAGATGAAGGCGATAGTAATAATCGTTGTTTTGATTTATAGAATAATTTTCAAAAATTTCGTATTTTCAGAAAATTAAAATTCCAGGAAATCTTTGGATATTATACTTTAAATTGATTTAATCATAGCTTAAAATCGACAGCTATATCCGTTGGTTTGATTTTTATGATGATTTTTGCAAATTTCGAATTTTTCTAAAATTTCCCTGAAATTTCGGAAATTTCCCTTTTTTTTTACAACACCATTTTATCGAATTTTCAAGATAATATAGACAGCATAATTCTTTCATTTGATTTATACAAGAATTTCACAAGAAATCTAACACAATTGATAGGGGAGGGTGGGGCAAAATGGGATAGTCCAATTTTGCACAAAAAAAAATTATAAATTTCTTAAAATCATAAATTTGGACCTCTATATAAATGAATAACAATTTTCAGTATTTTTTGAATTTTCAACAATCCCATTTTGCCCCGTGAACCAAATTACGATAATCGAGTGAAAAATGATGCCGAATTATTAATAATATTCGGCGCGAAACTAGTGATATTGGAGAAAAAATGATGGTATCCTATTTTGCCCCACCCTCCCCCATCTAGTTTGCAACCGTTGCCTCGCGTAGTTGATTCGATACTGCCCACCTCGAATGACGTGCAAAATGACATTGAGAAGCCCATCGCCAGTTCATTATGAAAACCAGCTACTTAAAATCATCATCAAATCGAACCCTTCTCCTTCCAGATAAAAAAATGTCGTCAACAAATCCAATATCGAATCAAGCGCAGCTCCGTTACCTAGTCGAGTGGTTCCAGGAGTGGTCGGAGATGCAGCGCGGCGACTTCCTGGGTGTCCTAATCACCTGCTGCGGTCCCCGTGACCTCGTAAACGGCCTAGTCCCGAGCATCGAAACCCTCAACTGCAACGAAGAGGGCGCCAGGCCGGCGAGCCTCTTCCAGTGCCGAGTGAAATTATTCCGCGAGTGGTGCCAGAACTGGTCGCAGCAGGACAAAGAGTCCCTCCTGACGTCCATCAAGAACATCGACCCCAAGTTCGCGGAGAAGTACGAACGACGACTGATTGACGGTCACGATTACGAGGACGAGGCGGAGAACGGCTTCCCAGACTGTCCCTCGCCGGCTAAAGTCACGGAGGAGTCATAACTGCGACTCCAGTCCCGCCGGATCAGCTATGGCTGTGCCATAGGCCCCACGTACGCGCCGCTAGTTTTTTTTTCGTAGGAGAAATTTAGCAATCTTTGATCTGAGAAAATGATTTTCTCTATTTTTGTATCCAAGAGCTGCTAGTCCGCTTCACTCTCGAATTTAATCGAACATTCCATCAATCACATTCCATGTGTAAATAATGTATTATCAGGAGGAATCACGACCGAAATTGCTCAATGCACTGATTACTGTTCATCTTGATTAACAATTTCTACAATGATTTTTCGTTCAACCCTAGGATAATCTAGACTAAAAGACCATTTCGAGCGCGTCTTTATTGAGATTTTTTTTGCAAAACAATACATTATTAAACCTAATTTTCATAAATATATAATATATTTTATACGAACATATCACGTGTGTGTTTTACATATCACAGACTATGTTTCCGCCCTTTTAGTGCGAACAAAGGAAATCTCAAAAAGCATCATTTCGATGTTCATCAGTGAAAAAATCGGCAGTTTTCGTAATTCTTGTTAATTATTAATGAAATGCGTTGTAACTNGCCGAATTATTAATAATATTCGGCGCGAAACTAGTGATATTGGAGAAAAAATGATGGTATCCTATTTTGCCCCACCCTCCCCCATCTAGTTTGCAACCGTTGCCTCGCGTAGTTGATTCGATACTGCCCACCTCGAATGACGTGCAAAATGACATTGAGAAGCCCATCGCCAGTTCATTATGAAAACCAGCTACTTAAAATCATCATCAAATCGAACCCTTCTCCTTCCAGATAAAAAAATGTCGTCAACAAATCCAATATCGAATCAAGCGCAGCTCCGTTACCTAGTCGAGTGGTTCCAGGAGTGGTCGGAGATGCAGCGCGGCGACTTCCTGGGTGTCCTAATCACCTGCTGCGGTCCCCGTGACCTCGTAAACGGCCTAGTCCCGAGCATCGAAACCCTCAACTGCAACGAAGAGGGCGCCAGGCCGGCGAGCCTCTTCCAGTGCCGAGTGAAATTATTCCGCGAGTGGTGCCAGAACTGGTCGCAGCAGGACAAAGAGTCCCTCCTGACGTCCATCAAGAACATCGACCCCAAGTTCGCGGAGAAGTACGAACGACGACTGATTGACGGTCACGATTACGAGGACGAGGCGGAGAACGGCTTCCCAGACTGTCCCTCGCCGGCTAAAGTCACGGAGGAGTCATAACTGCGACTCCAGTCCCGCCGGATCAGCTATGGCTGTGCCATAGGCCCCACGTACGCGCCGCTAGTTTTTTTTTCGTAGGAGAAATTTAGCAATCTTTGATCTGAGAAAATGATTTTCTCTATTTTTGTATCCAAGAGCTGCTAGTCCGCTTCACTCTCGAATTTAATCGAACATTCCATCAATCACATTCCATGTGTAAATAATGTATTATCAGGAGGAATCACGACCGAAATTGCTCAATGCACTGATTACTGTTCATCTTGATTAACAATTTCTACAATGATTTTTCGTTCAACCCTAGGATAATCTAGACTAAAAGACCATTTCGAGCGCGTCTTTATTGAGATTTTTTTTGCAAAACAATACATTATTAAACCTAATTTTCATAAATATATAATATATTTTATACGAACATATCACGTGTGTGTTTTACATATCACAGACTATGTTTCCGCCCTTTTAGTGCGAACAAAGGAAATCTCAAAAAGCATCATTTCGATGTTCATCAGTGAAAAAATCGGCAGTTTTCGTAATTCTTGTTAATTATTAATGAAATGCGTTGTAACTTCTGATCTTTGATTAAAACAAATGCATAACGACTGACTTAATGGACTTACTGGATTATTTCTTAGCTTGTTGAAGCCACTTGGTGCAGATCGATTTGATAGCCCCCTGGCCCAGTCTATCCGCCTCCCTGAGAATTTTCCTGATGTCCTGACCCCTAGAGTGCTTAACAGCCAGTAGATACGCAGCCTTGAGCTGCTTGCTCTCAATATACGAGTCAATCTTCATCTCCACATCGTTGATAATCCTGATCAAACTGTCGATCTGATCCTTCGGACTGGGAGAAGCTTCAGCCTTGGACTTGTCCAACAGGAGTTTGACACAGTGCGCCAGAACTCTGTCAGAAATGACCTGAGAATTCGGTGCACCTGAGCTCCTGCAGCACTTTATCAACTGCTCAATGGACCCCACCCTCTTGTCCAACGCCAGAATGTGTCCAACAAGAGAGTAAACCTTCTGCGGCGACAGGTAGTAATCCTGCATGATCCTGAAGGCAAAGCCAAACCCCTCCTCGACGTCCCTCCCACACAGAATAGCCAAAACAGCCAGGTGCGTCCTCTCCTTCTGATTGCCGAAGAGAGTCGGCACAGATCTGGGCTGCAGTCCCTCAGACTCCATGTACGACAGCTTGCTCAAGTAATCGTTGACATTCCTCCCCTCCTTCTCACAATTCCCCAGGAACTTGGCGATCTCCATCTGCCTGGAGATCGTGTTAACATGCTTATCGATCTCAGACGGGTCCATCTCCATCGTCAACGACCCCGAGGGTCCACTCAGACTCGACGAAACACTCTTCCGCCTCTTCTTCCCAAAGTTCTCCACCTGCAGCTCCGACTCCAGGTGCTTCTGCGCCTCCGTCAGAAAATGAGTCCTAGTGCACAGATCGGCGTAAGTCGTGGCATCCGTCACGTAGAATTTAATACAAGTCATGGCAGCCCTCACGTAGTCCTTCATGAAGAGTTGAAACTGATAGAGAGTGTTCATCAGCTGCTTTCGCTCGAGATAGAGACACGTCGCGATGAGGTACCTCTTCCAGGTCATCAGGGTCGCGTCCCTCGACCTCATGGTCTCGCACAGTTTCCCGAGCTTCCCGGCCTTGAGGCAACCGATGATGGCCACGTTGAAGAAGACCTCCGGGTCTACCTCGTTCTCCAGGGTGTACGTCAGACACTTGTCCAGGTCGTCATGACGGATGAAGAACTCCAGAATCGAGTTACAGCTGCCGTACATGAGGAGGTAGTACAGGCTCTCCTGATACCGAATGTTCTTGCTGCTGCACGTGAGCTTCGGCACGGCGTACTGCCCGTGAGATATCGCCTTGAGATTCCCCAGGGTGTTCATGATCTCCTGAGCTGTCGAGTTCTTGGCGTGAGTCGTCTGAGCCTTCGAATACTGCTCAGTGGAGTTCGAGTTCTCCAGGATCTGGAGGATCTCCGCGACCAGCGGAGGGTCCTTGCTGGGTCGACTCTTGATGGCCTTGAGTTCACTTCGATTGGTCTTCGGCGACGGGTGCGGCAGGAGGACCCAGTCGTCAAAGTCCTCCTGGCTGACCTTCTCCAGACAATGGACGAACTTCTCCCTAGCCCGCTCGTAGTACCCGACCTTGAGGCAAGCCTTCCCCCAGGCAGCCCACACCCCCTGAGTGTCCAGCCCCGATTTCGTACTGACGTCCAAGGCGAGGATCCACTGCTCCTTCTCCGTCAGGAGATCCCTCAGTCTTCTGAACGTGTGCTCATTCAAATCGTCCCGTGGCAGCAGCGACAAGCAGTCCGACTGCACCAACGTGTCGATGAGATCGACCTGCGACAGAAACCGATCGCAATGGGTCAGTCCCGTGTTCAGCCCCAGCCGCGCACACTTGACCTTGGCCGCGATCAACAGCGACCTGATCATCTTGATGATCAAGGCGTGATCGATCTCGCGGTTGATCTGTCCTTTCGTGTCGGGATAGAGCAGTCGCTTCATCTCGTCGCAGCGATCCTGCAGGAAGTTGGCGTAGGCCTCGTGATCGGAATGAAGATTGAGGATGGCTAGACAGAGAGATATGTTGGGCGCGTACTCAAAGCAGAATTCCTCTCTCAACGTCTTGTTATGACCCTCGTCAGTCGTCAGCTTCCAGCAGTCGAAGGACTCGCTGCTGGAGGTCGAGGGGACCGCCTGGAGCTGAGCCGTCTGTTTCTTGCAGTCGTTGCAGATCCGGACCCTGACGGAATTGGCGTAGCCGGCCACCATCATCCTCTGGTTGGAGCAGGATCCGCAGACGACTCGGCCACACCGTCTGCAGTGGTGCCTTCTGTTGAACATCGAGAAGATGACGTTCCTGCAGCAGCTGCACTCCCTGGCCTTGTCATTTGGAATCCATTCTTCACGAGTTGGCGCGTGCAACGGCATGACGAAGTCCGGGGCCTGTCCTGGTGGATCCTTCAGCCTAGACGTGTCCGACTGGTCCCGTTGAGTGGCAACCCTCAGGTCCAGGGACTTTCTCGCGTAGAACCTCACGATCTTGTCGAATTTATCGATCGTGAAGCCCAGGGCTTTCAGCTGTCTCGTCTGCGTCTTCAGAATCCTCTTGAGGTTATCGAACTTGCAGTTCATAAGGAGCTGCTCCAGGAGGAGGAGGGGCTCGGTGATCAGGTGGACGTAGTGCCCTCGATCCTTGGGGTCCAGTATCGCCAGAAGATCGACACCAAGTGATCCTCGCTTGTATTTCTCTTTGTCCGCGGAATTGGCCAAGAGGTAGGAGACGACGAACTTCAGGGCTTCCGTCGACTGCAGCTTCTCGATGACTCCTTTGCAGAGTTTCTGGGATTGCCCGAGGGGCAGAGCACTCAGAAGCTTCTGGGCGTGCTTGAAGTCGTCTTCTCTGTTGCTCAGGAGCCCCAGGAAGAGGTCCTGCGACACCAATGAGTGAATGTCTGAGGATGCTGTCTGGTACTCCAGCCACTCTAAACACAGTTCGAACTGCTGTGCATCGATCAGAGACTTCACGATCTTAGTCGGATCAGTCTTTTCGGTTCTGTATACGACGTTGTACCAGTTCTGCTCGGACTTCTCCACTTGGTTCTTGAAGTAAGGAAGCATCTTGTCGAAGACCATGACCCTGCAGAGGATCTCGTTGAGGTAGGATCTGCAGTGCGACGGGATTTTGTTGTGGGAGTGCTGGAGGACGTGCCTGAGGGCCTCCTCGCAGGTCCTCACCGGCCAGACCTTGACCTTCGAGAGGATCACTTGGGTCAAGGTCTGCTCATCCTGGATCTGATAGACGTACTGCAGGATCTCCGGACTGTTGGGATCCTCATTGTCGATCATTTCAGAGAGAATCTTGTCCTTCAGCTTCTGAATCTCCAGGGTCTTGAGGAGAAAAGCGTCAGGGAGATTCGCCAAAAGCTGCAAGGACTCCTTCAGCTTTTTCTCTGAAAGAAGTCTCTCGAGGATGTCCCAGAGCCGCCTCACTGGGAGGTGGTTCTGCAGACCCGCGAGAGCTTTATTGCCGGAGAACAGCAGCTTCAAGTTCTCGGTTGAGGCCGAGTTCAGAAGGCTTTCTAAGACCGCTGTCCTGCGGCTGCCGAAATTGGAGGACGGGGATTTCTCGTGGATCCGCTGGACTAGGTAGCACAGTAGCCAGCAGTGGTTCTCGAGGTAGTGTAGAAGGTTCGGGGAGATCTCTCGGGTCTTCCAGGCATCATCCGCCGGAGCGCCGGACCCCTCAATCCCACCCGATCCCTCATCACTTCTCGAATATCTCAACTTAATGCCGTAGACGTAGTTCGATCCGACAGCCCCAGCAGCGCCATCTGCGAAGGAGTCGTCCCGGATCTTCTGGAAGACTTCTGAAAGTCCGCCTTTTTGTCCTGCACCTTCCGTGTAGAAGTCTAGGTACCCTTGGACCGCGGCGTTCAAGTCCTCATTGATGCTGTCCGGGTGGTAGATGTTGAGGACCGGTGACACCTCGAACTCATTGATCATCCCGAAGATGGTCCTGGGGTCTTGCTGGAGGTCGAGGTCCTGCCAGGCAGGCTCGTTCAACTCCTCGACATGGGACTCGAAGCACGGGCCGTAGTCGGCAGGCAAGGTCCCCAGCAATTTCGACCTCAGACTGAAAATGGTCACGAGCCCGAGATCCCCCACCTCGTAACTGATCGTTCGCAGTGAGACCGTGTGTCGGAGATGGTTATGCGGTGGGTCGTGACCCCAAATGTTGATCGCGGAGTGTAGGAACAGAAGATTCCAGAGATTCAGGAAGAACGACAACGTGTGGTTGCCGAAGGACAGGTGGCTTAGATCGACAGAAGACAGCTCTTCCGTCTTTCTCAAGACTTTTTGGACTTCCTGACTCCTCGAGAGGGTGACCAACATGGGGTGCGTTAGGACTGACGCGTCGGAATGCAAGTCCTTGATCAGGCCAAGGAGTTCTGACAGGATGTCGATCACGCACTGATTCGGATCTGTCGGCATTTCAGGGATTGGCGAGGGGGCTTTGAACCGATTGAGGACGAGCATTCCCCACCTGTCGGAGGATACTTCCGGTTCTGTGGGGTTGTGATACGGAAGCTTGGGGCAGCAGTTCACGAGGATGCTGTAGACGAGATTGATCTGGAGATCGTTCGCGATTTTTTCGAGCAACTGAAGGTCTACGTTCAGAGTGAATATTTGGTAGCCGATGTAGAAGTCTAGGGAGTTCTTCAAGAGGGACGGGTTCGCGGGGGTTTCCGGCTGCGGGGAGATGCTCGCGAGAATCTCGAGGTGCGCCTCGAGGTTGTGGAGGTACGGATCTCCGTTATTGCAGAGGGATAAGAGGTTCGAGAAGTCGGTTTTGAGATTTGGTGAGACGTTCGCGATTTGGTCGAGGAGCTTTGTCGTACCCTCGAGGGGCTTCAGGTGGTTCTCGAGGTCTGACCAGTACCGAAAACGTTTTTTATAGTCCTTGACGGATAATGGGGACCTCGCGTCATTGATAATCCTGATGATTGAGGACTCGGGCCTCGTCTCGTGGAGGAGCTGGTGGATCGTTTGAAAGAGATCGAAGTAGCGGGTGTTCCTGAGCTTTTCAGAGGACTCGAAGTGCTTCTTCGTGACTTCTGCTAGGTTCTCGGAGGTCAGGTAGTCGTGGGAGGAGGTCAGGGTCAGGTCTAGGGAGGTGAGGGTCATCAGGTGGTGGGGATTTGCGGAGCTGTGACAGAGGAGGGAGATGTTGGGCTCTTGCGAGGCTAGAAAAGTCTCGAGTTGACTGGTTTTACGAGAGGAGTGGAGACCCTCTCTCACTGCCTGACGGATTATCTGAAAGAGGAGAATTATTGAATGGGGAGAGGGCACCCGAATACTTGTTCCTGGAAAATTGTTCCCTAGGAAAGGTGTTTCTCATAATTTCTTTCGTTACCCGACGGCCTGGCGCAGTGGGTAATGAGTGGGTCGCGGGTAGAATGGTGAGATCTAACCATTTTAAAGTCTTGATCACCATCGCAATATACTCAACCACGTCGAAGCGATGTGAAAATAATTCCTCTTCAACTTTGCGATATGACGCCCCCCCCCAAGTTATGCAACTTAGGAGTTGACCAATCACAGAGTTGCCCCGCCCACTGCAGCAGTGGTTCTCAACTCGATCGTTTTCAAATGAGAAAATAGTATATTTCGATACGAGTGCGGAAGTGTTTTTTGGCTCGTGGGAGATTTATAGCACGAACTGAAGGCGAGTGATATAATCCCACGAGCCAAAAACACTTTTTCCATGAGTATCGAACGATATTTTTCATCATAATGTGTGGAAAAGTTACTTTTTCGCACGGCGTGATGAAAATTATCATTTTGAAATTTTCTCTCCATTACTCAAAACATGATGATTGAAAATAGATCACCCCAGAATCATAATTTTTCTTCATTTGAAAACGATTGAGATGAGAACCACTGGCCCAGTGGGCGGAGCAACGCTGTGATTGGTCAATTTCAAAGTTGAATAACTTGACGGGGGGGCGTCGTACAGTAAAGTTGAAGAGGAACTTTCGACTCCAAATTTCACCACCTTTCCATCCTCAAAAATAATGTCCGCAGTTTTGGGACACCTTGAATTTTTCGCGTTTTCACTCTAATAGAAGGGTGAATTTTTATTTGGGGACTAGTTTTTGGAGTTCTTTCATCCTTCATGCTCTTGGGGAACAATTTTCCGGGGAACATTTCTCCTAGAACCTGGGGAGAGTGCGGCAATGTGGAACGGCTTTCGAAATTTTATTAGCACTTACATTGATTGTGGAATGCTTTGAACGTGTCGGAGTATCGCTCTTAGTCTCGAAAATCATTTGTTTCTTGATGTCTTCCCTAAACCCTTTGATCGCCCGAGAAAACATAATTTCCCCTGCCAGAGAGCTGCTCTCCATCCCGAGGGTCTGAAAAACATGAGGAGAATTCAGCTGCTAGTTCTCGGAGTTTTCTTCATGGATTTCTCCGAGCAGTTTTGGCTGCCGGACTTTAGAGTTGGGAAAGCGTGAATTGTGAATAGGTCTGGTGGCTCTCGGGGAGAAATTGTGAAATGTGTTGGTGATTTGATCAGGTGGACCTGAAGAACCACGAGACCTTCGAGGTAGCCCCGGACGGTGAGAATTATGACGAGGAGGGGGAGAACGAGATGATAAAACCGGAGGATTTGAAGCAAATCGAATCCTTGAGTGATGATGCTCACAAATTTGGGGCCTTGCACGCTCATGTGGAGCGGTTCAATCGCAGAGCTGCGGGGGGGAGGAGAGACCCTCCAGATTATGATTTCATCGATCCAACTCTGCTGGAGAGGATCAAGGAAGTCAACATCTTCGATGATCCTGAGCCGTACACCGCGGGCTATCAGCATGAATTTATTAAGCTGTCTAAGGTGATATAACGAAGCGATGACAGAGTTTTAAAATTTAATGTTTAATTTTTGTTTTTAAAATTTAATAATCATGTTTTTAAAATTTAATGTTTAATTTTAATTTAATGTTCCCACTGTCTCCCATCATGAGACTATATTTAAAATGACTCTTGTGGGTCTTGCAGCCCTTTCGACCCTCGTGACCCTCGTGGCCCTCAACTGGCCACAACTGGATTTTTTACGAAAATAATTCTTAGTAGATCTTAAATTCAAAATTTTCAAGAGAATGAGGAAAATTTGTTGGTTTTGTGGTGATGAAATAGGGGGTACAGCCCACCGAGTTTTAAAATTTAATGTTTAATTTTAATTTAATGTTCCCACTGTCTCCCATCATGAGACTATATTTAAAATGACTCTTGTGGGTCTTGTAGCCCTTTCGACCCTCGTGACCCTCGTGGCCCTCAACTGTCCACAACTGGATTTTTTACGAAAATAATTCTTAGTAGATCTTAAATTCAAAATTTTCAAGAGAATGAGGAAAATTTGTTGGTTTTGTGGTGATGAAATAGGGGGTACAGCCAACCGAGTTTTAAAATTTAATGCTCGAGGTTTAGAATTCAATGAACAGTCGTTTGGGGATTTAGTTTTATTTGGGTGTTCTAATCAAAGTGCCCAGGCTGTTGTTGAATGCTCTGCGGGTGTTAGTGGAACGAAAGTTGAATGGAAGTACGAAACTAATAATAATGATAAATGATAAATGCGTGAGATATTTTTCATCACCCAGGACAATTTATTGGAGTTAATTGTGAGGGGTGACGAGCCCAGTTGTTGGCCCTCGGCCCAGTTCCTGCCCGTCCAGGGGTATCTCTCGTTCACGCGAAAATAATTCTCATTAGATCTTGAATTAAAAATGATCAAGAGAAAGAGGAAAATTCCTTGGTTTTGTGGTGATGAAATAGTGAATATGGCCAATCAGCCGAGTTTCAAAATTTAATGGTCGACATGGGGGTACGCCGGAGGGGCCCAGACCTGATCCTGACGACAGTTGTTGCCCTCAGCCGTCAACGTCAGCTGTCAAAGGCTCAGGCCGACTCCAATCGCCGTTAAATTAATCAGAATTCAATTACCCGTCCCTGATGGGAGTTCCTCGGAATATCTTTCTTCCCCGTCAACGACAATAGCCGTCCCGACCGTGAAAGATACTCCCAACTTATCGAACTTTTCCACGGGCCAGACATCCAACTCGAAGTCAAATCAATCCCAGAATACCCCTCAAAAAAATCCACGCTAACATCCACCTCCATTTCCCTGTCCCATTAGAGACGCAAACGAGCGGACGAGGATGACTTTTCCGCGACAGTAAAGCAGGAGGATCTCCTCGAAACAATGAGACCGAGGGATCACTCCATTGTGGACACGAGACCCGTCTCATCAGCCCCCGATACACAAGACTATTTAGACCTCGAGGGCACTTCAATCGGCTTTGAACCCCCGACTCAATCCACAAATCACCCAGATATTGATCTCGAGGTGACCACTCCACCCCCGGAGGAGGCGGCAGAGGAGGAAGAGTACGACTACGAAAAATTCAAGGCCGAGTATTATCAGCAGCTCGACGATATGAAGACCCAAAATCTCACCCACAACTTCACGGATAAGGGCGAGCCCGAGGAGACCCCGGAGGACGCCCTCAGGAAAATAGTGGAATTTAAAATTCCGAGAAATTGCACTCAAGAAGAACTCACGCAAATTGGGGCTAGGGCTTTTGAGTGTCTGATGTTTGACTATCAGCACGCGAGGAATGAGTCCGATGTGAGGAGAGTGTTGACCAGGGGTTGGATGGTCATCAGGGTCTGGTGTTTCGTATACATTTGCATTGCCATTCCCGCCTGGTGCCAGAAGGGCTGGTGCTGCTGCTGCTTCAGGTGTGGATTTTGCTTTCCACTCGAGAGGATTGAATACTCGAAGAGATATTTCGCGAAAAATCCACCGGGGGTTCTCAAGGGGGCGCAGGGGGAGGAGACGTATGAGCCCAGTGCCTTTGAGCTGGAGGCGTATGAGGAGTTGGAGAGCGCTATCAGGAATTTATGAAAGAGAAGGTGAGATGGAGAATTGGTGGGAATTAGTTGGGGGATACCTTTGGAATTGATGGATTTAGGAAAAAATGTGTGGGAACATTTTTTGTGGGGAATTTTATCAGCTACAAAAAAGGTTCTCTGGGGTTTGTTTGTAAGTCTCGTGGTTTTCGAGATATTTTTGAAAATGTGAAATGGGTTTTTTTTGTGAGATCTGAATAAACTTTCTTGAGGTTTTGGGGTGATTAACTATTATTTTCTTCAAAAACCCAGACGGAAAATACAAAAGAGAATAGGAATTGACTCGAAATTGTGAATGAACGGAATGAGTATCGAAACAGCTCCAGATTAAAATACCATCAGTACATGAAAAACAGTTATGGCGAAAACACGGCTACGATATATGATGAAGATATTGATGTGATCGATTATTTGAGAGGTATCGCAAAAATTATGGCTCAAAAGTATTATCTCAGGCACTTTTTCAAGTGTTTCATACAGATAAAAACATTGACATACAGATAAAAAAAATGTATGCATTATACTAAAAAATTACATTCAATAAAAAATGTTGAAAAAGTCGAATGATAAAATGATGTCAACATAAAATGACCATATTCGAAAATGAAAATGATGAAATAATATTGAGATACGAATGTTTAAATTGTTGTGTGATATTTAAACGTGTCACCAAGAAAAAAATCATATTTCTTTTCTCACCGCCCTAACTGGTATCAAAAAAACTTGTTAAGAGCAACGAAAATACCAGAAATCGTAGGGAACTGATATTCCATTTACGTAGGGCTATTACCCTCACTCTCTTCGAAAACCCAGACGGAAAATACAAAAGAGAACAGGAATTGACTCGAAATTGTGAATGAACGGAATGAGTATCGAAACAGCTCCGGATTAAAATACCATCAGTACATGAAAAACAGTTATGGCGAATACACGGCTACGATATATGATGAAGATATTGATGTGATCGATTATTTGAGAGGTATCGCAAAAATTATGGCTCAAAAGTATTATCTCAGGCACTTTTTCAAGTGTTTCATACAGATAAAAACATTGACATACAGATAAAAAAAATGTATGCATTATACTAAAAAATTACATTCAATAAAAAATGTTGAAAAAGTCGAATGATAAAATGATGTCAACATAAAATGACCATATTCGAAAATGAAAATGATGAAATAATATTGAGATACGAATGTTTAAATTGTTGTGTGATATTTAAACGTGTCACCAAGAGAAAAATCATATTTCTTTTCTCACCGCCCTAACTGGTACCAAAAAAACTTGTTAAGAGCAACGAAAATACCAGAAATCGTAGGCAACTGATATTCCATTTACGTAGGGCTATTACCCTTACTCTCTTCGAAAACCCAGACGGAAAATACAAAAGAGAACAGGAATTGACTCGAAACGACGTGTGACATCTCCAAACCTGATACGTCAGGACGCCCCCCAAATTTTTTTCAATCTGTAAATAAACAATTCCGAATTCGAAGAATTCCAAAAACTCCAAACTCCCAATTATTTATTAGAAAAAAAAAATGACGACGTCGTCCTGACGTAAAATCAGAATAGAGAGTTGAAGAATTGAGATTTCAAAACAGGAAAAGGCTGAATTGCTCCGGAGATCTCTGATGGACCCCTCACACACCTAAAAACAAAAAAAAATGAGATAAAAAACCAATTCGTACACACCTCAATGACCCTCTGCGCCTCGGCGTAATCATTCTTCCAGAGACACCTGACGACCAGTGTCTCGGTGGTAGCCAGCATATAATTAAGACTGCACTCCCTCCCCCCCCTCCTCCCCCAATTATTTCTGCACCTCCTGCGCCTCCGCCCCCCCTGATTAAACCCACAATTCCCCATCGATCCGCTCTCGGAGCTGGCATCCACATCACTCCTCTTCTCATTCTCATCTGAGCTCTCATTGGTCCGATAAAAATTCTCCCGACATCCCTGATTAATGACCCTGCCCCCGACGTCTGGCCCAGGCTGTTCCCCCGAATCTGGTAATCCCTGTTTTTTGAGAAATTCCGAGCTCGTCAGCAGCTCCAATCGCCAGACCGCCTCAGTCAGACACTTCTTCATTGCTGACACCTTGTCCTCAAGCCCTTCATCCCCCTGACCCCTCGATAAATCACTCGTCGCGACGAAAAGACATCTGTTGAGATAATGAACAGTCTCTCTAATCGCATATTTGTTACATATGAAGCCAGTCTGATTCCCTTTCTCCCACGTTTTTTTGTCAAGGGGATCATCGTCATCCTCTCCACAGTCGGAAATCGTGTCCCCGGAGAAGTCTTCGTGCCTCATGAACATCATTGAGAATATGTTCTCCATGGTTTCCAGTCTAATCGCCAAGGGATTGAGACTATTCAGGTGCTTCTCCATCTGGCTGAAGCACTCGGAGACCCTCTCGAACTCTGAATTGTAGTTGTCGCAGAGGAGTATCGCCCTGACGTGGTGCAGCATGACGGAGTAGGCTCGGAAGGTCGTCTTCGAGGCAGGACAGTCCGTCAACAAGTGGCTGACGTCGTGGTCAGTCTCGTGGAGGTCGACGCAAGCCCTGAGGACAGAGAGGATCGAGGACGTCCTGAGGAGGTTCAACACAGCCCTTGGAGAGGGCTTCGTCGAGGAGCTCGAGCTCCTGGAGATCCAGTCCAGGACCTCCACCTGATCCTGGAGAGTCTTCTCCAGTCGATCGAACATTTCGATGTTCAGGAGCTTAAGTTCGGAGTTTGAGAGGAGGGACTTGAGTCCCGATGCCGAGACCTCTGAGGGTTCCACCAGGACCTTCAGGAGGATGAGGACCCAGAACCTGGGGAAGGACTCGCTCTGCAGGATTTTGGAGATGAGGTCGAGGCGGTTGTGCAGGGAGAGCAGGTGGCAGATGCTCAGGATGTCTGACAGCCAGTGGTTTCTAGTCTTTATGGTTCTGAGGAGGAGCTCGTCAGCCCAGGGGTGGGAGCTGGACTCCCTCAGGGCGAAGATGGCGTAGGTGATCTTGAGGGCGTGCTCCAGGGCGTCGGGGGCCCTCCTTCGGGCGAGGATGTCGTCCAGGAACTTGTGCCAGGTCTTGTAGTACTTGGGGTCCTTCCTGGAGTAGAAGGCGAGCTCGACGTCCTCGAAGGCGCAGGACTTGACGAGCGAAGGGTTCAGCCACTCGGTCAGGGCCATCTCCTTGGACTCTGTCACATTCAGCCTCGAGAGGATGCAGAGGAGGACTCCCAGGTGCTCCTCATTAACGAAATTCGGGTTCTTCACTGGGGGGGAGGAGCGCTGGGCTTCCGACGATGAGTGGATCGACGCCGGTTTCAGGATTTCCTTTAGGGCGTTCTGGTAGATGTCTTGGAGGGACGAGTCTGTGGGGGAGAACACTGGCGACCAGATGCACAGGAGCTGGTCGATCGTCCAGTGGACGAGGGGTGCGTGATGATGGAGATTTTTTTCGAGGAATTTTAGACTCGACGGGGAGAGCTGCGGGGGAGGGCCTGGGGGGTCTTGCCGGGCGGAGAGAATTGACGTGAAGAGAGACAGGAGCTCCTGGGGGAGAAGAGAAGAGACATTTCGGTGACAGGATTTAAAAAAAAAATTTTTTGAAGTGAAACTTCTTTAGGGAGGGTACGAAAAATTTCAGCGCGACACGAAAAGTGAAAGGTTTTGAGGGGAACGGGTTAGTCAGTAAGTGGGGGGCTAGTCAAGCGTAGGGGAGCCGCGCGTGAGTGAAGAAAATCCGAGGCGACACGAAACATGTAAGGATCGGTAGTGGGGGTAAGCCTAGAGTGGGGCCGTACGCCTTGCTATGCCTGAGACCAGGGATGGGCATTTCGGTCTAGAGACAGTTTTTTACATTACGACGTGAAAAACTGGCAATTTATCTATAGAATGTAATAAATGTAAAAAATGTAAAAAACTCAAATAACTTGAAATTTTGACATTTGATATTGAAATTGAAATTTGAAATTGGTATTTTACATTTAAATTTTGAGTTTAAACGTGAAATTGAAATTCTAAATCAGGAACGCAAAATTGATATTTGAAATCTGCAATTGAAAATTGGGAAATTCTGAATTCTGCATTTTAAAAT